TCCACGAAAACAAAGAGGTTTCTGGCAAGGTTCTTAATGATCTTATGAGAACCATAAATTAAGTGGACACTTTCAGTAGCCTGATGACCGAGTTTGATGACATAGAGCGATATGGTTATGAGAAAAATGATCCACCATTGAACAAATATCTCGAAACTAATCTTCAGCTATTGAATCGAGCCATCCTCGACAATACAAAATCGACAGATACATCAGCTCAAATCAAATCCTCTGAGGGTACTCAGTATCGCGATGACGGTAAAATGATTTATGTAGGCAAAGTTTCGCGCCCAATCTCCCAGAGATTGGTAGCTAAGCAGTACAATGTTTCGACTGAAACCCATGAGAAACACTTGTAGCCTGACTACAAGGCTGATCCTGAATTACCGTTTTTACAATGGTGAGTAACTTACACCTGTATGAGGGTATCGAGGATATTGATTTCTACGATAAGCTCGAAAACGTTCTTTCGAGCCAGGCAAGTGTATTTGAGGTAAATATTGCTCTTGGGTACGAACTTGTAAGCAAGATCAATCCTAATGATACTCGCTACTACTATCCGGATCTCGCCAATACTTATGTGTTCAATAAGCCTGTCTCTATCAACAACAAGGCTGATGTTCGAAAGAAGTGATTCCGGAAATTCGGTCTATGGAGTTGGCTGACAAGCTGAACTACACAAGCTCTGGAAATAAGGTTAAGGCGATCACTGCATTCAAGAATTTCGTCTACCATCGCGACCATGCTCTTGGAAATATCGAAGCTATAATCCCGAAAAGTTATTTGCAAAAACAAGCATGTTATCAACTTCCCTAAGACAAATAAGTGCATCTTTCACTGCATCGCCTGGTACACATTCCATAGCACGAAGAATGATCCTCAGAGAATCCAGGCTGAGGTGAAGGAAGCATTCAAGCGCTGTTGCTATTTTAAGGTGATTGAGTATCCGTTGAGTCTATTTAGGAGCTTCAAGCCTTTCGACCTACTACAGCTCGATGAGGTTGAGGACTGCTTCCAACTCGGTATTAACGTATACAGCATGGATGTAGCTACCAGAAATGTTGAAAGCATTCGTAGGTCGGACAAGGGGTAGGAAGCTACGGATATTCAATTACACGAAAATCAGGCTCTCTATATCAAGAACATCGATATACTCCAGTCTAGGTATCAGTGCCCCAAGTGTGAAATGATTTTGGTGAGTAGCGAAAGACTTAAAATCACAAGAAAAATCAAAGCGAGAATATTGAGAGGTTCTCCACTTAGCCGACTATATACAAACCGGCTCAGAACACAATACGATCACTGCTTACGAAGTATTCCATCAAGTATGCTTGCCATTACATCGATCACTTCATCGTTTATGACTTTGAGGTCATTCTTAAGCCTACCGTGACTCAACACGGGAAATGTAGTCCTTACGAACGAACACGTTCTTGTGTCAGTATTAGTAGCTGATAGTTTAACCGAGGGGGTGTGTTGCTTTGTAAATGACGATCCGAAGATGCTACTTACGGATATGTTCAATACATTGGTGATGTATCGGGTAAGATTCAGCAGTACAATGTCAAAAAATATATATCAC